AAATGTACGATCGCATACGCCACACGCCAACATCGTAGAACAAACAAAACACCAAGTTGAAAACTAAACAACTAGCCTTATAGAGACAAGGCTTTAAAATATATCGATTCAAAATCTGGTCACAATGCTAAAGCACTGACCTGTTAGCTTCACTAGTACGAATAGTTCCTAAAAGAACTACCATGGATGGAAAAAGGCTTAAACGTACCAGCTAATAACCTGCGCAACCACGACAAGGTCCGGTCAGTTGAGAGGAAAATTACGAAGAGTGCAAGTGGAATGAGTGAGTTAAGATGGTAAAAGTTGGCTGGCCTTTCTAGCTGTAATGCTGACCTTTTATGCCAAACTTTAGCTCGACTCTCAGCAATCTTTAGCAGTAGTCTATAGAGCTATTCACTTGCCTGCCTTCTACGCATTTCAGACTCTTCTGCGCAGGGAATCTCGTTAATCCATTCATGCGCGTCACTAATTAGATGACGAGGCATTTGGCTATTGAATACTTTATTGAAATTGAGAATTTTCTTACATAAAGTGCATTTGGGCATAAGAATGTAGCCCGCACATGTAATATAAAAGTATAAAAGTATGTAATAAAAATATTTACATAAGGCGAAACGACTCTTAAAAATCGCTAAAAATTGTTCATGTCCAGTATCGTCTCTGATCATTCATTGCTAAGCATATATTAATAATATTAGTGTTCCAAATCATCCGTTTCTGCCTCTCGCACGAAACATTGATCTTTTAAAATCTAGCCAGGTTTGATAGCCTTTCTCCATAACAATAGTTGGCAGTAGCGCTATATCATATTCACTCAATGCAAGACTGTTCTTTAATAAATGGTACGATGGACCTGCCAGGGCACCCCTCCAGTTAAAACTAACTGACGAAAAGGTGATCGAAGCAGTTCCACTCACCCTAAGTGCCCAGTCGCGGACATGCTGCGTATCATAGTGCTCTATTTTTAATTGGTGTGCCCGATCTAAATCAGCGTTATCGGCGACCACCGTAACATCTATGACATAACAAGTTGACCCGCCCTTCCAAGCAACGATGTCAGGACGTCTGATTCCAGCAGGTGTTGGAATGGCTGGCTCTACAAGAACCGACCAATGATTTTTGACCAACACCTTAACAGTTCTAGCAAGCACAGAATTATGTCGATCAATCCTGGCACCGCTGGTTCTTGGGCACACCTGGTTAATGTGTCCCAATGACTCGGTGCGACCACAGGCATCACATGCCACATCACGCTGGGGACGGCCCCTAGCCATCCTGGCTGCTGTAGCCATCAGGTTTCCACGCACTTTAATGGCACCAATGTAATTGGTACCTGACATTATTAGGTGGGTGGGAGAGTCCACCCATTTATTTGCGATGGAGATCTGACTGCACTTATTCAAACCAGAGCCGTCCACAGAGCGATGCAAACCATATGCTAAGGCTCTCTTCAAATTTTCCTTATTGCAAATAGGAATGCCAGCTACCTGCAATGGCACCGAGTTGCTACGCAGCATGTCCGCAACAAAGGAAGTCCCAGCAACCGCAGCGACAGCCGGATCACTGCTACCAAGGAGCTTCTCGAGCCTGCTCTTCCACATAAGCAGAATGGCATTTTTCAAAACAGCCACTCCCAGGCCCCCTTCGATGACAGGTGCGTGAATAAAGAAATCGTTCTTATTCTCAGGCAACTTAAGCCATCTTTTCACTGCGCCTCTAATTTTCGCATCCAGAAAAGTGAGAAGCCCTTTGGAGCAGTCAGATAACACCAGCTGGGTGATACAATGCTGGAATAACATGTTGCTTTAGAATGTACAGCCGTTGCTGGGGCTTCAGAGGCGCCCTACTTAGGTTATCCAAGTATTTCTGCTGTTTGTTGGCAGACTGGGGTATTGCTCCTTTAGCCGAGAGTGGTACTCCTAAATACTCATATGTCTCCCCTATGGACTTAGCTGGAATATCCTCGCCCGCAACATGCAGATGCACATTAGGATTGACTACCCACAACTTCCTCTTTCCATCCACATCAATCTTCAAGGACGCTGACTTGCCTGTACTGCCTGCGCTTATAAACAGTCCGCACTTATTCAAATGATCATTCAAATGGTCAATCTGGCTCTGTGCACCGACCGATGTTTTGGTCAATAGACCAATATCATCGGCAAACGCAAGGTGATTTAAATTTACACCATTGAATTTAATGCCAAGATCGGGATCCAAAGTTGATAATGCCCAATCTATAACAGCATTAAATAGGTGTACCGACATCGGATCACCTTGCTTAACACCCCTCTTTACCGAAATTGGTTCGCTCTTCTTACCACCAACCCGTAATCGGGTTTGACTGCGCAAATAAAATTTGTGCAGATAAGATAACAGAGGGGGTGGCACGCCCATTCTCTTTGCCGCAATCAGAATAGACTGATGCGAAACCAAATCAAACGCCTTGGAGATATCTAGAAAGACAACATTGAGAGGCAAACACTCCTTAGTATGGTGTTTAATTATCGCTCGCAGGAGAAAAACATTCTCTCCTAGCCCATCACCCACCCGAAAAGCCTTCTGCCTATCAGAGATGGGCATAAGATCACCCATTCTCCTCGCCATTAACTTATGGTAGCACCTTACAATTAAATTGGCCATTGTTATGGGCCTATGCTTGGGTGGTCTGATGTCGTTCTGATCTTTGGGGAGCAAAATGGTTTCGTCCATGCAGCAGCTGGTCGGGGAGTAACCCGCCAGTACCCACAGGTTGAACCTTGCTCTCAGCTCTTCTCCATTAAGGTGCTTCAACTGACTCAGAACCATCCTATCTGGTCCAGGTGCTCCAGGCTTCATCGCTTTCATGGTGGCCTCTAACTCGGCCAAGGAGATGGGGTCAATCATGTCCCACAATGCCGGCCCGAACGGCTCTGGAGTTCTAAGGTCCTGCACAGATTCTTGTTCGAATATCTCACGCCAATAGGGCTCTTGATCTTCCAATGGAAGACCTCTCCTAGGGCGCTCCCAACTACCACTCAGAATATCCTGGGCACAGCGAGACTTATTCTTACGAAAGAGGTCTTGCGTCCTCTTATATGCAGCCCTTCTTCCCCAAGACGAATTAGGGCGTTTCCGTTTCTTACGCTTATTGGACCTGGCATTCGGGGGTACAATTCCCACTGAAGTAGCGGTCGTCGATTCCCCTTCCCGCGTGACGCCATGAGATACGTTACCAGGCGCCTTTGCTACTCTGGTACCAACTCCTCCACGCCTTTTGGGTCCAGGTGGTACGACTTCTGCACAATTGTGTGCAGTCATCGATTCCACCCAATGGTCGAAGTCAAGGTTTATAAACTCCTTGTCTTCTTCCGACAGACAGTCAGGTTTGATCAAGTCAACGTCCAAGCCAGCAAACTTGAAATCAGCAATTTCGTTCCTTACCTTAGCTATCCAAGAATCATGATCCAGATGGAGAGATTGGTCGTCAGCTCTCCAACTCCTTCCAGGGTCAAAAACCCCATCGGGAGGAGCACCACCTCGAACTGATTCGGCCTACCCATTAGGATCCACGACACTAGCAGGATCGGTCATCAGTTTGCCAAGAAGATCGTGGTACCGTTTATTTGTTTTACGACGCACACCTTTAATGCTTTCAAGCGTTCGATGTGGCAGTACCTTGATTAACTCTTTCTCAGCAGGGTCCATTACGCGTAGAACGTGCACGTTCTACGGATGTAATTCGTTCATATCTTTGGATCAGTGCACGCTATGTAGATGAAAATACTACCATTCGATTCAGTATAAAAATATACACTAATTTATAACGATAGTTTTAGTCAGTGGCTAAATTGTAGCGATTTATGAGCTTTGAAAGTCAAGCGAGCTTGGTATTTGATCAAATTACACAATATTACTAACAAATTATAAACATAGACATACCTTTCGCCGAACATAACTTCGGCCCCAAGTTTCTATCTTTAAAATGTGAGTTTTCTTGCCGAATTTTGCATTTGTGCTCCGAATTTGCGTTAATCCCAACCAGAAATACGACGAAAAACCGTCAAAACAATGCGAAGTTTGTATCGCGTGACTCTGGAAATGCCAGAAATTGATTCTACAGGTCAAAGTGCACCTATACGCGTGCGTTTGACGTCATCCCAGCTAAAGGGAGCCCCTTATTGGCCAAGTATTACGTAATACAATTGCGTGCGAGTAAAACCCGATACCTTGAAAAATTCAAAATAAATATTTCTACTCGCCGTATTCATACGAAACATTCTACACGAAAGCGCTTGAATACAAAGAGTATTTTACACATATATCCTTTCAGAAAATGACGCCAAAGTTTAGAATCTATTCAACTTTTTCTCTTTTTCTCGTTTGAATGTTTGGCGAAGCGGTGAGTATAAATATATGATTGTTTCGGTTTGTGTAATGTTTTGACGGCACTTGACCCCCCGTTCGAAAGGTTATATTGTGAGGATTTCAATGGTGGCATTTATTTAAAAGGGGGGTAAATACTCGCCGAGATATTTATATTAGAAAAATTGAATCGAAATGTAATACGAAACTACCTGATGAGAAGGAGTTAACTCAGCACTGATGTTCTTTACCTTCAAACCAGTGAGACGAATCTCTTCTCTAGCAAGCAGAACTAGTTCCTCATCATCCCAACGTGCCTTCTTCCGTGCCTTTCGAACATTTGAAGCATGGTAGATTTCATCATGCTTCGATCTCTGATGTAATGCTAAACCTCGATCAGTTTTATATACTTTTTGACAATACTGACAGACAAATATCGAATACGTATTGTCGTTTTCGCCAATTGGAAAGGTGTCGGTAGGTGCTTCACTTGCAGCACCTAGTATGTTTAAATCATTTTGTATATCCGACACGGAGGTTCGGCCCGGCCGCAACCTAGCAAACATGTTCGCAACCAGCAATAAGATTTTCCAATAGAGTCCTGAAATGTAACGGAAGCACTTCACATGCGGCACTTATTTAATCCGTCACAATATTGATGGCTGACAGGGACAACCAACGAGAAGGTCTGTTTGCTTCTGCCCCTGTTTGCTTCTGCCCCCAAATTTGCTTCTGCCCCCAAATTTGCTTCTGCCCCCAAATTTGCTTCTGCCCCCAAATTTGCTTCTGCCCCCGAATTTGCTTCTGCCCCCCAATTTGCTTCTGCCCCCATTTGCTTCTGCCCCTTAGAGAGTCATAGTTACTCCCGCCGTTTACCCGCGCTTGGATGAATTACTTCACTTTGACATTCAGAGCACTGGGCAGAAATCACATTGCGTCAACACCAGTCGCCATCGCAATGCTTTGTTTTAATTAAACAGTCAGATTCCCCTGTGTCTAATGTCACAGGCAACAACAAAATCCCCCTAGTATTAAACTATCATCCTTTCAATTTCAAAGTGAGAGATGTCATCAACAAGAATTTCCATATTTTGAATAACGACCCCGAAACATCTTCCATTTTCTCCGATAACCCCTTAGTCTCTTTTCGACACAGCAAAAATATCCGTGAAACCCTTGTCCATAGCTCCCTAACACAGGCTTCGACGTCACAGAAAGGCACTTTTCATTGCCTGTCGTCGAAATGTAAAACCTGTGATTTTATAGATTCCACCACTATTGTTTCGGGCACCTAAATCTGAATTTCACATCAAGCACCATTTCATGTGCGCCTCCTCCCATCTCATCTACTGCATCTCTTGCAGCAGATGTGGCATGCTTTACATTGGGGAAACTGGAAGATGTTTAAGGACAAGGTTTGGTGAGCATCTGTGTGCAGTTATTGGCAATGATGCTAACCAACCTGTTGCCAGACATTTTAATGATGGCAATATCACAGTGTTTCAGATATGTTAATTCGAGCCCTCTGTCCCATTTCTGGAAGCAACGATAGCCGCAAACGACATGAAATGCGCCTCATATCCAAACTTGGCACTGTTCACCCTTCTCGTATTAATGAACGCTTTTCTTATGTTTAATGCCATCATAGACAATCCAGAAGACAAGTCTTCTGTTTTCTCTATGACGCCATCTGTCTTTGCCTGTCTATAGCAGACATTGACAACTTCTATTTATTACTTTTACCTTATTCCCACTCGTGTTTTGTTTTGATTATTTTTTGTAGTAATTGTCTTAACTTCCTGTTTATTTTATATTTTTAATTATATTATATTCTGTAATGCGATTTACATATTTTGTTTACACTTTGTTATTATTAAATCCATCTAATTGGTTTATTTTTTTGTCACATGATGCTTCCATACTCTTAGTATAAAAGCCCGTGCATTTTCCCCGATCCCTGCTACTAACTCTTGACGAAGGGCCTTCGCTCGAAACGTCGAGTTTCTGCTTATTTTTTAAGGAAGTAATATAACCACTTAGCACAGCATTTTCACATTGGTACTACCTACACTCAGTACACTGGTACAGACAGTTTTAGCATAAAATCTGCCTCTCTGATTCTTTTCGTAAGCTCTTCATCCATTTTCGGTAATGTATTTCAATTTAAAAACACAACATGGACTTTCAAAGTAAAAAATAATATATTATATTATATGGAATGCTTGCAGCTGGCAATAGATTAACAGCCTCTCGCAAAATAGGCTTGCTATGGCATTGTGAAATAATAGCGTCATATTACTATTCATCATGTTTTTGACACTAATCCGGAAATTGAACTTGTTGCTTTGTATGAGGACTGAGGCGCCCAGGTGCTGTTATATCCTTCGATCTTATTTATAGTATATAAACTTTACAATCCTGGGGCCGGTTGCTCGAAAGTCGGATAACTTATCCACTGGATAGTGATTTTTCAACCGTTGTAAAAATGCTCGAAAATATATAGGCCATATGGGCCTGTCAATTGATAAAAAGAAAGTTCAACTTAAAAATATCGAAGTTTAATCTGAATCAGACCAGTCAACAGGTTGTTTTAGGAAGCCTGAAAGAAAAATACCGGATAGCGCTATCCAACTTTCGAACAACCGACCCCTTGTGTCAAAACGTTCAGGCTAACCACGCAGTAATATTGTTAGTTTATAATCAGTGCAGCAAAATATTCATCCACTCCCAGCGATTGAAGCCAGGTGTGAAAAGATGACAAACTAGTAGCGGAAAGGCTACCTGCAATAAAATATACTAACACACAAGGCTACTTTTCATGTGTTGCATTGCAAAGCACAGCGATGAAACACCTAATTCACAGTATATTTTTCTCGATTGAGCACCTTCGAATGAGCGCCGCACTCCGTTATCTACAATTTCGGCGTTTATTCAAGGTGCTGTTCAAAAAGCTAATATAATGAGAGCAGAGCCCATTTTCATCTTAAATGAGCCATAGTTCGCAATATGGCACACCAATACAAGCAAGGAATTGCTTGAAAAAAAATAAATGAGAAATTTTCTAAGAAATAGGGAAATAGCGTAGGCAGCTTTCATCGTTACATCATAGCCTATATATATCATCATATATATATATTCTGTACAATTATATTCCGCTCTTAAATAATAATGTTGATTATAGTATTTTTATATAAATTCTTCCAAATGTTCAATAGTTCTAAAAGCGCGTCACTCATTTACAGTACGTATTTTGTATAATTCGCGTAAAACATGCCTGATGCTCATTGTAAAATTTTCAGGAGACCAAAAAAAAGCATTGGTAAAAAATTGAAAAAAATCGAGTCCGCGAGTCCGCCAGTCCGAGTCAGCATTTTATCCACACCCATAGGGTTAAGCTAAATTAGCTAATTCAGCTTTCAACAACTGGCACCTGGTGAAAGATTGATTGTATATTCTTAAATGTATCTATATGTGTGAACTATAATTATATATTTACTAATAAATACATTTAATATTCTGATAGTAGGCTATTTCTTCATATTAAATTATTATGGCTTCAAGTGAACATGACAGAGGTACAGTTTCCACAACTTTATGTTGCTGAAGTAAGAGGAAATAGCTTTAATTTTATGGTAGAAATAAATCTCACTTGGTGGTAGCTATGTGACATATCTGCTTGGTAGATAATATACAGACAATTTTATCTGTAGTGATATACTGTCACATAGCTGTGACGGATATGTTATTGGGCCAAATTCCTATATGTTGCAGATATGTGACAGATATCTGACACATAACTGTGACAAGTGTCTGTCACATAACTTTACTGTGAGTCTGTGTGTGACAGATATCTGCTACATAACTGTGACAGATATGTTATGGGGCCAAATTCCTGTATATCGCAGATATGTGACAGATACATTCTTACAATCATATACTTTGCAGATATTTGACAGAACTGTGACATATATCTGCCACATATCTGTCAGTTTGGTAAGGGTATGCACCCAGCCTAGTCCCAGTCGTTCTGAAGCAAGCGCGAGAAAAAAGTGGATGTAGTACGAGACTGGGACCTAGGTGTGACGTCACCGCTCAAGGTGCTTCAGAACGCCTAGCAGATTTCAGTACTTTTAATATGGCGGAAAATTTATATATACATGTAACCTTTTAATTATAAATACGACAATGTTCGTTCATCATGTACATGTTCGATGTCTACATAACCAAATCAAACTGTATTAAAAATGTGCTCAACTAAAAAAAATTATATACAAATTTACGATACCGAGTTTGAGCAATCGTTGATGTTATTTATGTACTCGCAAGTTGTGATCAACACTAGACCATACTGGTATACACAACTACGCTTTCTACTTGACAGGTTTAAATTGCTGAGGAGATTGGAAATATTTGCCTGACATGACGGTGTTGTCAAAACATTCTTAGTCGGAGACTCGGGATAATGTTCAAGCTTTTAGATAGCATTTAATATGGCTATATATTTTAGTAAACACGAGTCATATTTAGCCAGTTATTCCATTCTGACCGTATGGCAGCGAAACGTAGCCTACTTCATTGTTCCGACAGCATTAGAGCAAAACTAATGACTTAATTATAAATGCAAAGGAAATTTCCATAACATTTTCGATTTACAAATGAGGTATGCTTGGTAACCAGGCCAGGGACCACTTTTTTGAAATCAGGGACCATTTTACCGAAATCTGCTAGGCTCTCTCGCTGAAGCGTTCCGCACAGCACACCCAGGCATAAAACTTTTAAGACTTATTTAAATATATCAAAGCAGCGAATAGAGAGAGAGCCTGGGACTAGGCTGGTATGCACCTAATGCTCTGCACCTAATACACGGTTTATACAGTTGAAATAAGAGCATTGTAAATCCTCGGGATTTTGGTGTAGCTTTCGATCGGCTTTAATTTTTCCTTGTCGTTGATGTCTGCATAAAAAATAACGAAAAGAAAACAAACTGACAAATAATATAGTATGACTATTGTATAAAAGTATTGTAAAATGAATCGTACGTTGTTTAGCTTGTCTCTTCGGTTTCAAATTTCCCTTGTGGGTTGTTGTTGTTGTTGTCAATCAGTCTATGTCTGCATGCAAAAGAACGAAAAGAAACCAAACAATCCATGAGACATTTCATCTTATCACACCAGCTAAAATTTCCTTTTATATCTGTTGTCATGATTTAAATATTGCCATTTTTTGTAAAACAAATTGCGATTTGCGATGTAAATAGTTTCAAAACAGAACAAAAATGGCGGTGAAATGACGGTGACCTTTGACAAATGTGTTGCAGAAAACGTAAATATTTACGGCCGGAAATTGGCCGATATCACACCAGATATTAGAGTTAAATTGACGCACGTGTTTTAAAAAATCAAACTAGGGTCCACAAAAATGGTAAATAAACTTTATAACAAATTATTTCGCAAAAAAGGTTTGCTTACCTGAGTTTCCTTCGATGTTTTCCATGATATTTCCAACGGCCGGCGCCGTCAAAATGATTAAAAACATCCCACGAAAACGCGTCAGTTGAAGGAAAAACTATCTATACTAATAACTAGGATAATAATTGATTTGACTAAGCTGTAAAAGTATCTGAAAAAGCTTGATAAAACGAGAGGAAACTGCCATAAAACTTGGTTCCTCACTCTTTGACTTTCGGACAAAACAAAAAATTGAATTTTGCGTTTTGCATAATAAACCTCGTTTTCATGTTATGCGAAGGCGCGGTTACTAAGTTTCGCAATTGGTCTATAGCAAAGTAAAAAAAAAAACACAACTATAAAATAACACCATGCAGGAATTGTCTTTGACATAAACAGTGAAATATTTGCCACTGTACTTACAGCTATTTGCGTTCAAGCACAAACCGCAAATATTTTCGCGCGTTTTTTTACGTTTGAAACGAGCCGTTTACCGTCGGAAACGGAAATGTATTCACCGCTCATGTGACGTGTCACAGTGGAAAGCCTTCTGACAGTTCTGTTATTTTTGGCGCAACTGCATGTCATGTTTTGATGTGCCTTCGTGCACGTTTCAGTATTTCCAAGCTTATAATATATTGTAAGAGCGAACGTATTATCATGGGCTTGGAAATATTGAAACATGCACGAAGGTACATCAAATCTCAATCGATCATTTTATCAACGCAAAGCTTTCTTGCCTCCTCTGCTTCTATTGAGATCAGGGCAAGCGCATCTAATCTGTGACATCTGTCTTGTGCAATAGGTGGCCTAAGATAAGTCTTAACTTATTTTCAACTACTTAACGACTGTTAGCAACTGTTACATGTGGCAAAGCAAAACAATTGCTGATACTAACTTTGAATACGATGTGATTAACTCACCTATTTGAAGGTGTTTGAAAATGTGGATTCCACCCTTTAATTTTTTTAAATTATTATAAGTCATCCCGAGCAATTCTTCCTTGGGACAGAATTTATATGACAAAACGTCTTGAGTTAAGTCATTAGCATAGTGCTATATGGAGTTTCAAACTCGGAACACAAGTCAAACTTGTAAGTAGAAATCAGATCATTGGCAGCACAACAGACTTCACTAGCGGTCATCTTCAATATGCTCTTTGGTGCCAAAAAATTGAATGTCTTGGCAACAAAAGTCTGGCCTTTGAACCGTTCTTCTAGTTGCGATGTAGCCGTGTCAATGAGTTTAAAGAATACTTCGACACAGAATTTCTTCTCTGGGTCAGCGATGGGTTCATCCCTTGCTTCCTCGTCAAAAAATCTACGAACTTTTATCGTTCTCTTTTCAATAAAAGAGGATACAGGAATGGCAACTTTAAGAGCTAACATTGTAGATTCTCTTAGAATTTCATTCCATTCGCCTCTCATTTCTCTAACATTATTCAACGCCCCCCAATTCACTTTTAATTCCTAGATCCATGTCCACTACATAAAAATCTCTATAGCTGTGTATAGTTCTGACAAGATCGGTTGTTTGTCAGTTCTGTTTCTCGGAACTCGTCGTGTACTTCTTGACTGCCATTGGCTCCGAAGATATTAATTCCATAGTACATATGTACTTTGCCTTTTTCCGCTTCAACTTCTGGAGTCACTTTATATACCAACTGTGCTAATGCAGTTGATTCAGAAAATCTTTTTATGCTAGGTTCTTAATAGTTGTACGAAACAGAAATTAGATGAACAAAGCTCCCGGACAACTCAGCCATTGATATCGGCAACTCGATCGGTAAAACAAACCTGTGAGCAAACTTAGCCCCCCCCCCGCCCTTATGTAAAAATTTTGTTATCTCCCAAAATCAGTGAGACACGTAACCAGCATGGACCAGGGTCTTTCCTTCAGCGAGGCGCGTAGTGGAAAGAGCCTGGGTACGAGGTTGCATGTCCTATACGTCGTTCAGCATGTACAGCAGGTAGCTCCTCTTCAGCTGGCAGGAGATCGTTCGGTTCATCAACTAATCATTTCGACTTGTTATAAAATTGTACAAGACTGCTGTTGCGACAAAGATAATTAACGTCGTTTCTGGTTTCGTTCGTGTACACGTTGATATAAACATGGAAAAATCTCTCGCATACGCCAAATATCCTTTCGTTAGTATTTCTTGCACGTATTTGAGCTATATTGTATCTGCGCGCGTTGTGCGGATGCGCCAGTGGTGCCATGGGATATTGCCGGCATGGATAACCGCTATCAGCTAGCACATGCCTTCGTTGTTACCTCGTTCAAACTAGGCACTTAGACGAATGTATAAAAATTTGGTGCGTCATGGACACTACCTGGCCATCTGGCAACAATCGGTTTTGAATTTTCAAATTTGGTCCGCAAACAGCTTGAAGTTTATAGAAATTTAAGTACCCTTTCGATAATTAAATTGTTCAGCATCCACTCCCCCTGGGCATGATATTTTTATATGCGTGCAATCAATAAGGCCTAGAACGCTTGAAAATGGACATATTCTCCAAAAATCTAGTTTGGTTTGTGGTAGCATATGAGCAGGAGGGTAAACAATGTACTCACTATTTAAACGTAGAATTTCCTCAGACATTTTACCTGCTGATGGCTGCGAAATTTCACACTAGTACCCGCATGCTAATTGGAATGTACCTGTCGCATACAATGCAAAAAAATCAAAATCTAGGCTAGAATAATATTTTTACTTTTCAGATTGTTTTACTTAATTTCTTGCCAAGAAAAATTACAAGATAAAATTTGTAGTTTAATTTAAGAAAATGTTTCGTGAAATTGGAAAATTAATCTAGGCAAGATAATCCTGAAACTATATTTTTCTTGTTTCAAGAATTATATTCTTCGGCAGTGCAATAACCTGACGTCATTACTTATGTGACGTCACTTGTATATAGCTAGTCGTCACTTGTGTTTAGCATTTCATGGATATTAAATTTAGTATTGTGATAACCACTAAGAGCGTGCCTTGTATTATCATACTATAAAATTACTACATTGGCGACGAGGATCAAAATATCTCCACATGCGCTATGGCCTCATCTTTACCACCATTTCCTCCTGACCTCCTTTCAATGTTGACGACCCCACCGCGACAGATCAACGCTCGACCAAATGCAAAAACGTTTTGAAAATTTTCTTCTTGCCATGGATATCGATGATGAGACACGCAAACGCGCACTTCTTTTGCATTATATTGGCTCGTCAGCATTTGGTATATTCGAAACCTTAACGGATACCGGTGACGAGAAAGACTACAAGAAAGCAATGGACCGCCTAACCGAGCATTTTACGCCGCAACGCAACGGTGATTATGAAACTTACCTCTTTCGTCAAGCTCGTCAATAACCAACTGAGACGCTCGATCAATTTACCACTTGTCTGCGCCAATTGGCCTCAACTTGCGAATTTACTTCTGTTGAGAAAGAAATCAAATCGCTGATAATCTTCAACTGCTCCTCACGCACGCGCACTTCGTGACTTATCCTTAACCCTTAAAGCACCATGGAAATATCTGAAAAACAAGCCTCTGGCATTGAATCTAAATCCATTTCTCATTATACTATAAAAATACTACAGACGGAAAACATTTATGTTCTTGTAATAAGAACTGATGAACTAAATGCCTAAATTTTAGACAAATTATGAAAGCAAGTAAATTTCATCGGATCTGAGTTTTTTCTATAGTACGTACCCGGCTTTTGACTAGTTTCGACTGGTCAGCCAGACTTTGAATCTTGTGCCCGAACGAGTCACGCAAGTTCCTAATCGATTACGACTTACGTGCATGGTACTCGAATATAATGGAGTGCAGAGCAGGGCCGCCGAAAGGTTGGCGGGGGCCCGGCACAAATATTTTTAGGTGCCCCTATTTCAGGGTAAAAATTATTTAGGGAAAAAATTTTTCCGGACGAGTAGGTTTTAATTTCTTTCCAGGGATTTTCCCTCAATTTTTCATACCAAATTTCGATACTTTGCACAAAAAAACCCAATATCTTCCCCTTTGCGCGGAAATATTTCACCCATAAAACTGACTGGGGCCCAACAAAAAAATTCTAGGGGCCTCCAGAACCGGAGCAATTTCCCCCTGCCCCTCCCTCCTCGGCGGACCTGGTGTAGAGCAGTAGAATCCTGTCGTTCGTTGAATAGGATTAAAATCAAGATTTGCTATTTTTGCCAAAGTTTGATCATTCACAAAATGCATTTACAATACAAAACAAATAAGAGTTGAAAACCTATTATACAAAACAATACAGATTTGCCTGCGGAGGAGGCTAGATAGAATGTAGAGTCTGCGTCGAAATTACATACATATGAATATGAATTTTCGTTGTCTAACCAATCTGGATCGTTTACATGTTTGAGAGATCAGTGGTTAATTAATCGTGCCATGTTTGGGTTCCCAGAAGGCTAAGCGCGTGGTTCGCGTTTTTAAACTTGAAAGTCAGAAAGTGATGCATTGATGCACAAAAGCGAATATTAGTAAGAAATCATTCAAATTTTGCACTAAAAAATGGACAAATATAAAAAGAAATATTCCAGTATTTGATGGCGCACACAATATTTTGAAAAGTAAGTGTTAAACTACGTAAATATTTTGAACTTGGCACTATTAGCGATTGGCCTTGAGTTGTGCTTCTTATTGGCATTATAAATACTATATATTCCTTTAAAATGTACATTCATATATTATTCCTTTATAATGCATAATTTACAAATGTTTTTATTTCCAGGTTCTGGTTATCTTTTGAAGGGACAAATGGTGTGGTATTAAATATGTGATGGAAGTGCCACAAGGTATGAAATATTATATGGTTTCAGGTTTGAATGTTCGATAAATTAAAATAGAATATTGTTGTTGCCTGATTTATATCAAGAAAGCATGAATACAGAGTTACTTTAATCTTTGTATCTGTATTATTAATAAAATGGCTAAAAGGCATTCTGCGTATAGTGTAGCATAAAATGTCAGTGCAGCCAGGCAGGGGCGTAGTGCCCTTTAAAAAGTGCCAGCTAGGTGCCCTTTTTCTGGTGGCAAAGTATCCTTTGCCTTCATGAAAAATGTTGTTCAGATTGCATTTTATGCCTCAATGGCCTTTGATTTATGATTGCGGTTTTTTTCGCTTCCCAAACAAACCCCCTCCTCCCCCCTGTCACCAACATTTTCGAAAAAAAACCGGTGTCCTTTTCATTCCAAAAGTGCCCCTTGAAACACGTGTCCCCCAACTTTTTCATGCTTCCTACGCCCCTACAGCCCGGGGTCAAAATAATGGCTAGTCAACGGACAATATCTGGCCAAAAAATGCCTCTTGGAATCTGGGCTGGTCACATTTTTACTTCATCTGCCATTTTGGCCGGCCACATCTTCATGTGATTGCTGATGTCTTGAATAAAAACATGAAACTATGATGTATCGAAACAACTTTATAATTTACAGTTTGTTTCACTGTTAGTGGATGCGTATCAGTGACTTGTCAAAAACAGATTTTAGGAGACCTATCTCCCTTTATGTTCAGCCCTGATCGCAGCCAAAAACCAAATCTAGCAACACTGATCAATACATCCTTCCGGATAGTATGACGCATTGAACATACCTGTATAGCCTTGTCTTCGTAATTAAGATGTGGGCTTTATCTGGTGTCAGGTACACAAAAAAGAAGCTTTATATAGCCAAAGTGGCATCCTTTCTGGAAGGGTGTAAATTATATTAGTCAGATTGGGTGGGTTACATGGTACTGAACCAGCCTAGGTGTCACAGCTACCTCACTTTATGTGTGTGACATTTTTGTCCGAGACTAGAGCTACCCTGCCCTTGGGCTTGATTGCACTGCTGGCCTGATTTGGTCACACTTTGTAGGGACTTTGAATGCAAATTTTCCCCAAGTAATGGGGAAGATATGGGGGCTATGTCTTGCCATTGGGAGAAATAAAGTGATTTTAACAAGTGATAAGGGAAGGGGGTTACTGTCTTCCTGCTAGTAGTGTTTAGTAATACTTAGAATTACATTTTTGGAAACTGTAGTTAGCTCCGCTGATTACCTTGCAAGCATGTCATGTGAATATTATTACTAGGAACATGGGGGTACTTATGTATCCTGGGGGGTGAAGTGGAAACAAATCAAACGATACATTAACGAAGGCCTCACTATTCCCCCTCAGTGGGGGAAGATAATTCCATTGGTGCTCACACCAAACTGTCACGATGCTATTAGGTGATATTACGATCATGACGAAAACATTAATTTGATTAACAGGCATGGCGAGTGAGGCGTACGAAAAACTAACACAAGCCAGACGTTTGTATATTCATTTGTAAACAAATAACTGCTTCTCTTGATTTCTTGTTCACCAGAAACTATATCGTAATAAACTAACACTGACATTACTTGGTGTCAAGAGTGTTCTG